CCTTTACAGGTGACTGTCCCCTTAGCTCTTGCTGCTTCTAGGATTCTCTCCTTCATTTTAATCTTGGCTAATGTAATGATGATGTGCCTTGGTGTGTTCCTTCTTGGGTCCAACTTCTTTGGGACTCTCTGAGCTTCCTGGATTTCCTGGAAGTCTATTTCCCTTGCCAGATTGAGGAAATTCTCCTTTATTATTTGTTCAAATAAGTTTTCCACTGGCGGCTGTTCCTTTCCCCCTTCTGGTACCCCTACAATTCGGATGTTGGAACGTTTAAAGATGTCCTGGAGGTTCCTAAGACTCTCCTCATTTTTTTGAATTCTTGCTTCTTCACTCTTTTCTCTTTGGCCATTATTTGCTTTCTTCTGGTCCACTCCATTGATGTGAGTCCCAGTTTCCTTTTCATCGCTATTGGTTTCCTGTGCAATTCCATTCATTTCAATTAGTTTCGCCTTCATATGTTTGTCTAATTTGTGGCTATAATCAACCAGTTCTGTGAGGATCCTGATGACCAGTGTTTTAAACTGTGTGTCTGAGAGTTTTGCTATTTCTTCATCACTTAGATTTATGGGCTCTGGGGCTTTGAGATCTTCTTGAGCCATTTTTGGTCTGTTGGCGCCCGTTAAGTATGAGGAGCGGAGCCTTGGACTCCCAGGTCGCTGGGTTGTGACGCTGTATGTGGGGGCGTGGTCAGAGCGGGGAAATGGCGACCCCCTCTGCTGTTTCTCGCCGCTGGGTGAGAAGCAGAGCCTTAGGTGGTTTGCCAGGGCAGGGCCACTCAGGTTGCTGGGTTATGATGCTGTATGTGGAAGCAAGGTCATAGCAGGGATATGGCGGCACCCTCTGCTGCCACTGGGGTCTGCTGGGTCCTGTCCAATTGCCCACTCCCTCACTTGTCTATCTGCTCATGAATACGTAACCACAGTCAACCCGCAGCCCTGCTCCCTCGCAGTTTCCCTGCGGTCGTTCACTGGGTTGTTCACTAGGTCCAACCCAGCGCCTGGGTTTCGTGCACCTGAGTCCGTCTGACCGAGTTTTCCTGTGCTACCCCACTCCACCAGCTGCTGGTTTCACCCCTCTTACTGGTCAGGCTGAAGAATTTGTTGTTATCAGACTTCCGAAAAGTTCAATTTTCTGTATTCTGGCTGTGTTTTCTGTTGCTAATATTTAGTTGTCTCTAAACTTGTTTGTGTGAGAAAACAGGGCGTCTCCACCTATGCCTCCATCTTGGCGGAAGCCTGGATATTTCTTATGTTGACATCCATGTTAAATACACCCACACACGCACACATTCTTATGTGGTGGTCTGGTCTATTCTATTCTCTTACACATTTCATTCCTTTCCACCCCATTTTTAAATTAAAAATGCTGGTCGCTAGAATGATGTCAAACCCACCAATTTATCACAACCAGCAGCTCATAAAACACAAGTCTAATTAATAGGGGTACTGCCACTTCTCCCATCTGTCTCTCCAGCACCTATGCTCTCCCCCAATCACACACACATACATGACACACCCAAAGAAAAGCTCTAATAAAGGTCATGGCCAAAATGGAGCCATAAATAGCAGTAACTGTATTACCGTGAAGTTTTTATACCCAACTAAGAGTATGGTTTATATGTCAGGAGGAATAATAATTTCTATCACAACTGCACTCAGTTAACATGTTTCTCCGATGGTGTTACTGTCTCAAAACTTTCTTGGGCTATTTCTTCCTTCCCTCTTTTTTCCTATAGCTCAAAACCTAGAAACCATGACTTTTCACACACAAAAAAACCACATGAATAAACACATCTATTTATGTTGGTTTTGTTGTGGTAGGACAGGTATGAACATGTTTTCTGCTTAGAGAGGGTCTGGAAGCTTATCCAGCGTGTGGTCTTGGCAAAGTCTGTGGTGGTCTAGCCCCACTCAGAAGCCCCAGTGGGTAGCAATGAACATTTGTCTGTATGTCTTCTTTGATTTAAACTCTTTAAAACAGTGGTTCTCAAATTTTAATATACTGAAGAATCATCAAAGTATTTGTTAAACTTGCAAATGTCTGTGTCCCAGCACTGGAGATTCCAATTCAGTGATGTGATAGTATCCTGGAAATTACATTTAACACACACTCAGGTGCTTTATCGATATTTGGAAGAATCTTCTGTGGATCTGGTTGCTGAGATAGAAGTCTGACTGTAACTTAGGTTGTCCTGGCCACTGCTTTCCATCAGATATGTCCCACAAACCTTAGTTTTCTTGTCTGTAAAATATAGAGTCTGTACCCTATCTGTGGGCCTTCCCCATCTTTATTTTTGTATAATGTTTCTGTAAATAATATTAAATGAAAGAACAAACAATTTTTTGTACAGTATTTCCAACTCTAAAAAACTATGGCTAAAGACTAGCAAAAATAGAGAGAAATTGTGGATGTGCTTTAGAAAATAAGCTATTGCTTAAATAATTTGGAAAGAAATGGTGAACAACAGTAAAGGGATGTCAAGGAGAGTGAGAACAAAGAACACATTTGAATTTGGATGTGGTCACTATGACATCATGGTGACACTGGAGAGAGCGACTTAGTACAGCCATGGGCATGGCAATCACTCTGTGGTGAAGAAACAGGTTGGAGAGGAAGGGAGTGAAAAGAAGAGTGAGCAGTAGCTCAAGAGAAAGGCAGGATTAAAACAAGGTATCTTTCAAAATTGTAGAGCCCTTTGTGGAGACACCAAAGTCCCAGGAGACCCTGAAATTGAAGGCACCTTGTAAGAAAATTGACTTAGCAAGAAGATATGTTTTCCCATAGAAAAAGAAGAGAGGAGTTAATGAGGTGGGTTAGTAAGAAATTAGGAAAATTCTCGGCAAGTGGAATGAGGAAACTGAGACAAATAGTTGAACAAACAGGTGTAGCAGCTGAGCAATTAACAGCCAGCTGATAAATCACAAGACTATCCTCCCTAACAAAAGATATCTAAAAGCATGTGGTCTAAATTTATCTTCTCTAACCAAAGATACCTAAGAGCAGGTATTTAAATCATCTCAGTCAGGGAGATAGATCTAAAAAAATCCAATTACAGCCAGACTAATCTAAGACAGAGGTGAAACTAACAAGAGACTCACCCCTGACCCCCCTGTATGTTCATTTTGATACACCAGCATACTAAACGACACACTTGGAAATCTAATAGAGTAGTCTGTTGAGATCCTCTCCTGGGACTTCCCCTAAAATTCCTGCCAATAGAAAACAGGTAACCCCGGGCCACAGTGACTCTGTTGGGGCATCGTCCTGTAAATGAAGGGTTGCAGGTTTAATCCCTGGTTGGCACACATGCCTGGATTGCGGGTTCAATCCACAATCAGGGCCCATATGATACCCAGTCTGGAAGCATATGGGAGGCAACCAATCAATGTTTCTCTCTTACACTGATGTTTCTCTCTCTCCCCTCCTCCTCTCTCTAAAAAGGAATGAGAAAAATGTCCTCAGGTGAGGATAAAAAGAAAAAGAAAATAGAACCCTTGGGACAAAGGATGCCAGAGTGTGTTCTTATTTGAGCATGCTGGTGCCCCCCTTTCCTCAGGCATATACTTGCTTCTTCTGATATGGGAAGTTTTGAAGAACCTTTGTTTAACCTTTATTTGCCCAGGCCCCAGGCGCCCTGGGGAGAATGATGGGGCTGTCTGGGATAAGTAAACAACGGTGCATTAGCTAGGACTGAGATTAACACCCCTGCTGTTAAAAACTGACCTTTGACTTTAGCCTATGTACTTTACTTTCGCCTCCTATCTAGGACTGACTTCCAAATTCCTGCTTCTGTATCTTGCTTTACTACTCTGAAGGCTATATAAACCCCAAGAATCCTTTGTTCAGGGCTCAGAATTTGGAGACTGACTCGTTTGGGCCCATGCACGTTAATAAAACCTCATACTCTAGAAACCCTTGGTGTCTGGTTGCTTCATTTTCCTGCAACACTTCTATCCTAAGCAATAAGTGTCTGGACGAGACATGAACCCAGGAGAACAGTGCACACTGGCAGCTCATCTCCCAGCGTACCCACCGATCCTGTCTATCCTCCTTCGCTTCACTGTCCTTACTCTCACTTTCACCTGGATTTATGTCTTGAAATTTTTCCTGCACAAGTCAAGAATCTGAAAGTCACTTGACCCACGAAATGTCCCAGACAGTGCTGTGGTTGGGCAGCCAGCAGAGTGGAAGTGGCCCAGTAACACTACTACTAATTGTCCCCCCAAGTTGGAAATATCAGTCCCAACTTCTGAGCTCGTGCATGTATATTATGCCATTATATACTTTTATTCTAGTCACATCTTGGAGGAGAAAATCTCCCATCCTAACAGTCAAGGGGTCTCTGGAGTCGGAATGGCCCTTTACAGAACTGACATCCATAGGATGCAATTCCCAGGAGAGAGCATCACTCCTTCCACTGTCGATCTGGAGGCTAATGCCACCTTGCGTTTGTGTTCAAAGGTAACTTCTCAGATACCTTCATATGTATAATTTTACTCCATCTCTACCACTCTGGGATAGGATAGACCTCTGTATCTATTTCTACCCTTTTAACCCCCACCCCACTCATCCCCAAGTCCTCACCTGTGCTCTTGCCAAAGGGGCCACACACACAGAATAGCCAAATGGGAAGGAGTACTAGTGTTATTAAAGGGGGCAGGACAAGAACTCGATATTCTAGTACGAAAGTCTGCTAAGAGCTGATCTGGGAGTGCTGAGCCCAAGTCAAAGTGAGGGCTCCTCCCACCAAGCACATGCCCAAACTAAAAAGCTGCTCCCCGGGGGCCCCTGTGTTTTACAGAGCTGACCAGATCCTGAAACGGTTCTGTTCACGCTCACAAGAAGTGATGGTAAAGGGTATCTAGACCGACACAGGCCCTGCCTGGTGTGGTTGGGTGGGCCGCGGGACTGAGAGAAGGAAGGGGCGGGGCTGAGCGTGAGCGCTGACGTCAGCGCTGACGTGGGCTGGGCAGCCCGCCCACAACTCCGCCTCTGGGTGCGCCAGTGAAGGGCCGCTCGCGCGAGCGGTCCTACCCGGAGTTCCTCCGTCCTCTCGCGAGGCGCTGCTCTGGAGAAGAGGGAAGCCGGGGTAGGGAAGAGGGCCGCAGTTCCCGCTTTTATGGCGGAGACTGAAACATGGGACAAAGAGCAGGAACATTGCTTCTTCTTTCCACACGAAATAGGCAAGGGAGTTAGTGCGCTCCTATTATCTCCACATCACAGAAGAAGAAAAGTGGAATGATTGGGCTATTATCTATCATACAGAGGGCGAGCATTAATATTGCTCTGATGATGCTGCTGTCGCAGCGAGAGCGAGTCCCAGTGTCCTGTAGCACCGCCTGCGCGGGCCCTTTGCTGCTCCCGTGGGTGACTCCCAGGGCGCGCCTTGGTGACTCCCAGGGCGCGCCTTGCTCTCCGACCTGGCCTCCGAGTCAGGGGAGCCTTTTCGTCCCTTCAGCCCCGAGGCTGGGCTGCAGGCTGTTTCTTTTCTCAGGGCCTCATGCTGGGATCGACTGAGCCCCTGCGTCTTTCCCCGACAGGTCTGGAAAGGGAAAGCAAAGATGCTTTCCTCGTGAGGAAATAGCCTGTCTGGAGCCCTTTCCGTCCGTCTGCTCGGCCCGACTCGGTGGCCCACCCCCACTAAGGGGACCGCCGGCCCTGCACACAGCCAGCACCTGCGGCTCCGGCTCCGCCTTCCGCCCCAGGACCCGCCTTCACTCCCTCCAGGCTGTCGGTGGTCCCACCCCTTCGCGTCCCCACCGCTGGGAAGGAGCAGAAAACCCAACTGCGGTCCATCAAAAACACATTTTATGGAGGTTTCTGGGAAAAACGACTTCATTCTTTAGAAACTACTCAAGCCCTGACAGGCGTGGCTCGGTGGGTGGGGTGTCGCCCTGCAAACCAAAAGGTAGCAGGTTATATTGCGGGTCAGGGCACAGGCTTGGGCGCAAGAACCTACCAATCAATATTTTTATCCCTCTCTTTCTCCCTCCCTTCCCCTATATCTAAAATTAAGTAAATAATGTCTTTTTTTTTTTAATGAAAAGAAATTCTCGAGGGACATTCTTTTTTGACTGAACAAGGAAGTACTCAGCCCGCACGGCTGCTTGCCGCCACCTTGTGGCCACTGGAGGAACTCCAAGTGGTGGAAGGCAGAAAGGAAGGCCAAGGCTTCTTCATGCCCACCTGTTCTACATGAAGACTGGACTGAGTTGACGTTACTAGTTTTTTCAGGCATGTGAACCAATAAATTCCCTTTATTGTTCAAACCAATTTGAGTTGCATTTCCAGTACTTGCAGATTTATAATTTACATGGCTGTAACACATAAGCATGTAAGTTTGGGAAGCCTATTTCATGGTTTCCCTTAATCCTACTGGAGTTTTCAAAGGAAGAAATGACCCCCAGAATAGGAAGTTAGATTTTCCTGTGTCAGTCAGATAGGAGGGAAGAGATAACCAAGTTTAGAAAACAAAGATCTAAAATAACTTTCCTCCAACACACACCTATCCAAATGAAATAAGATAAGCAAAGGACCTTATAGAAAGTCACCACCAAAACCAAATGGTAATTTTACTATTATTACTATTATAATCTCTTTCAATTAATGTTGTTTGTCTTTGAAAATTCCATTTTAACTCGGTTATGGTACTTGAAAAGGAAAGAATAAACTTTCAATTACCCCTGTAAGTAAGAAAACATGATTAGTAGACTCCAATTATGCTATCATTTCTTCAAGAATAAGGACAGTTGCAAAAGATACAGAGATTGTGGGAACTGGTGTCATCCAAGAAACTTCATTTTCTGAATCTTTGAAAATGAAGCCAATGAGGAAAGCCTTATACTAGGAATCTCCAAATTCCAAAAATCAATGAGGATGACTCTTCAGCTTATCTTGAAACAGAAGTAGCCACCACAGGCATGCCAGGTTTGGTAAGGAGGCTGTAAGGGGTAGATAAACATCCCAGGGATCCTTTGTAGAGGAGGTCTCAGACCTCTCACCTTGTAATCAGTAATTTTTCTTACCGTAATGAAACCCAGATGCTTCTGATAAAAAGAATGGCTGGTATTCAAGCCATTTGCTAATTCTGCCTGGAGGTAGAGGGAAAGCAAAAAAAATCATGCCCCACATCATTAATTTTAAATATTTTATTTTCAGAATGAAATGGTATGGAACAGTGTAATGAGCAATAGAAACAAAGAACCAAGAAGCAATTATGTCTTCAAAGGAGCAGAATGAGAGCAAATAAAAGGCCCTGCACAAGGTAGCACACAAACAAGCAGATCCAGACATCATTTACAGAGTCCAAATACATACATGCTTTTTTATTATGTCTGTAAATTACCTTCCACAAACATGCTGTATAACTGGAGACTCACTTCTGGGTTACAATAAAAATTGGGTTTCTCAAGAGTCACTAAAACATCTCAAATTCTATTTCACCAATACTGGGTATCTCTAATCTGCAGCCATTGTGCTAGACACTGGGCAGCAAAATAAATAGGGCATAATCTCTACCCTCAAAGTGTTTATAGTCCATACAAACTATTTATAGACAGAGCTACAGCCAAATGACCATGATATAATGTGTGCTGGGTAACACAGAAGAGGGCACATTTAATTGTTTGAAAGATAGGGAAGGCTTTACAGAAAAGGAACTAAAGCCATGCACAAGCAAAGCTATAGTCAGCTGGAAGGTGGGGGGCCAGGTCTTTACATTCAGTGAGAAATGGACCTAAGTGCATCATACGGGAATAAGAATTCAGCTTCCTCTCTGAAGCCTGGGGCCAAGCCAAAGGTATCCACGAGTGAACTGGGACTAAGATAGCTCCAAGTAAAATTTTACAGACTTTTGGTTTAGTGGACAGGAAGCAGTGATTCTTGTATGAAAACAGAAATTGGGTCTATGTATGGCATCTGAAAATGGTGCTATGTATAATTGATCAAATATTGGATCAAGCAGATACAGTATATATAATTGAACCAAATGCCCAAATTCTTATGCAAAGATTTAGTTTAGAACTTTGCATCTCGGAAGACCAGGCTGATGTAATGCTGAAATCATTCCATAGGGAAGAACAAGCATGTGAAAAATACTCCATGCATGATCAGCTTTCACATAAAAATTACAAAGCACTTAATGCTATCCATAATAATAAAAACTGGTTGGCAGGTCCAGGAAATAGAAAAAAAATCACACCTAAGGAAACAAATAATGTAGATGTAACTAGCCAAAGTGTTTAAAATAAGTTTGTTTGGTATCTTCAGAGATAAATGAAGAAATAGCATACTCAAAATGACAAGGTTATTAAATTGGAAAAGGCATAATAAAAAAAGAAACAAAAATTTTTTAAATACAAAATTGAGTAAAAAATCTTAGCAGATGTGATAAATAATATACTAGGTAAGGTAAAAGAGAATCAATATATAGGAAAAGAGAACTAAATAAATGTGATAGAGATTTGCCACATATTCACCAGCTCCATTTCCTCTTCTCAGGCACACAAGAAAACCCGTATTTCCTGGATGCCCCTGCAGTGAGGTGAGGATCATGTGGTTGGAATGGAGATGAAAGTAAAGCGTATCTCTTTTAGGTCTGGTCACGAAATCAATCACCTGGATGATCATTTCCCTCCCTGGAGATCTGAAGAGCACATGATGATGGCAGTATCTCAAGTTAAAAGTCACATCTTGGAAGAGCTCTGTTCAAAGAGCCTCCCAACCTGCCTCAAATGGTGACATAGGTAAGAAATAAACTTTTTATTTTTGCTTTATGAGTTTGTTGTGCAGCACAGCATAGTTTATCAATTAACATATTGGGTTGCCTAAAAAGTTTGTTTGTTTTTTTCTGTAAGATGGCTCTAGTAGCATTTAGTTGTCTTGAAACAATTTTATTAGATTGTTTTGTGACAGCTGTCATATCAGTGTGCATTAAAAAAATCAAAATTGGTGAATTTTTGTGTAGCCATTTTAATATAGAAGATGTAATAAAATGTGCAACATTTTCAGCATTTATTCTCTATTATTTCAAGGAAGGTAAAAACACAACTGAAATGCAATAAAAAAGATTTGTGCAGTGTATGAAGAAGGTTCAGTGACTGATCAAACTTGTCAAAAGTGGTTTGTGAAGTTTCATGCTGGAGATTTCTCACTGGATGATGCTCCACAGTCAGGTAGACCAGTTGAAGTTGATAGCAATCAAATTGAAATATTAATTGAGAACAATCAATGTTATAACACATGGGAGGTAGCCGACATAATCAAAATATCCAAATCAATAAGTTGGAAATGAAAAATGTGCCTTATTTTATGGAAAAAACTAATCAGACTTTTTGGCCAACCTAATGTAATAAATCACTCTGAATGCACTAAAACAATATAATACATAAAAAATGAAAATGAATTCATAGAAGCTAGACTGAGAAACTCCAAAATTGCTCTTCCAAGTGGTGAGGACAGTTAAGAAGGGGGAGAAAAATGTTACAAGAGATAATAAACTAAGAATTTTCCAGAATTAAAGAAAAACATAAATCCTTAGAATAAAAATAAAAAGCCATTCAGTGTACTGATTTACTTTCAGTAATAATTTTCACAATAAGTATTTTTTAATTTTGACCAAAGCTTAGAAATACACTGTAATCTTTTTTTTTAAATTAAAAAAAAGTTTTTATCTTTAGAGGGGAAGGGAAGGACAGGAGAGAAATATCAATGTATGGTTGCCTCTCATGCATCCCCTGCTGGGAACTGGCCTGCAACCCAGGCACGTGCCCTGACTGGGAATCAAACTGCGATCATCTGGTTCCCAGGCCTGCACTCAGTCCACTGAGCTATACCAGCCAGGGATACACTGTAATCTTTTTATAACTCTCCATTCATTAATTATTTTATTCATCCATATAGGAAACATTTTTAAGAATTCATTATCTGTCAGACTCCTTGTTAGGAACTAGAGGTTTCCATTTAGTGGGAAATCACAGAAATCCTAGCAATTACTATAGAGAGCACAGTAGAGAGAAGGGAGGGATTGAGGGCATTGCATCATAAAATGGCACGATACATAAAAACGATGCTAGTAGTGAAGTAAGGTTAGACTGGAGGAAACATGTAAGCAATACTGTCAGGAGCCAGATTCTGAACATTTGCAAAATAGCTCGAAGCCTTGGAAACAACATGCTCACTACATGATTTTAAGACTAATAAAAGATTTTCCTAAAAAGAAACCTCTGATCTTCTCATCTATTTGAAATACCAGCACAGCTCTAAGAAGTCATAGATTTTGAGTGGGACAAAACATTTTGCAGGTGTCCCACCAACTCCCATGGGAGAAGCATCCTCGCCAGGAAACACCATTGCTGGGATCCATTCCTTTCTTTGTGACATACTGCCTTCCTTATCACCTCAGGACTTTTTCTTCTGTCTCTGTACTACCAGGCTTTTATTGTAACAAGTGGGAAAACTGTTGAAAATGCAAAATTGAAGAAGCCTAGAAAATGGGGCTACAGAAGAATGAATATCCAGAAGGCAGGAAAAGGGGATGATGTGGTAATGTGGGTAACTGTGCCACGAGGTATAAGTGACATACAGGGGCTGGATGCAGAAAAGCTTGAGGGGAGAAAAACAAAGAGAAAGGAGTAAAATCTGCTGTTGTAAGGGGGGACTTCTGGATATTAAAAAAGAATTTTTAGGAAGTCTTTCTTCATGTTGTACAATATATAAAGCATTGCGTTGCTTTTCAATGTTTTTGGGGTCAGATTTTTAAAATTTTCATTTTAAGGTAATATTGGTGGAGACTGGCCACAAGTTTTACTTGGGTTACACATTCATACACTTTTTATTACAGTGAAAGTTCCAATGGTAATATAATAGCCTGAACAGTGAAGGAACCTGGGTGAGAGAAAGTGAAGGCATAGTCAGCAGCTGCTCAAGAGCAGAAGGGAGTTCTAAAAGGTAGAGATCTGGGTGATGTGGGGATAATGGAGACAAATTTCATTCACTTCATCATTTTGACCAGATCTATTCTTGTACAAATGATCACCAGTCTGTAGGCCAAGGCCTTAGAGAAACTTGATGAGACCAGAATAAAATAAATTATGGTCAAGGGAAAATTTGTAAAGGTGAAAATGCTACCCACAGTGCTAGGCCTGTGCTAAGACTGTCACTGTCCTCAAATGGCTGCTCCAAGTGAGGGGGAAGTGGAACAGTGGTCCCTGGAGAGGGTCAGTTACTTTAGGAACTCTGGTGTGGGGAGGATGTTGGCCTT